TTATATTTGTTTAAAGATCTCCAAATCCAAATGGATTAGTGCTTTCCTAAAAGGAGTCGTGCACAACCCATGGGAAATCTCTTTGTTATTTATATGTTTTAAGGGTCTTTTAAAGTCAGAATGCCTAAAGTCCTCCAAACAGAATAAAACTCTAGGCATAGAAGACCCGAATTCGTCTAATCTAAATCAATTATCAAATTTGATTGATTAAGACAAATCTTAATCAATCAAATTATCAAACTAATTTAGATGAAATGAATTTGGAATTTAGTTTAATAATTAATGGATTTTATTATAATATTCAGAATTATTAAAGATTTATTAAATTGTTAATGAATTAATAATTAAAATTTATTTAAAATTTTATTTTAATTCCAAATTATGATTCTCTGATTTTTATTTAGTTTTATTGAATTTTTATGGATTTTTTAGAATTTATTTAATATTTTTAATGAAATATTATAGAAATTACTACTTAATGAATTATTAATGAATTTAATATTAGAAAATTATTTAAAATTAGAATTAATATATTTCTGGCTTAATTTGATTTTAAATGAATTTATCTTGTATTTTTAGTACTTATTGGAATTCATATGAATTTTAATGTATTTATTTAATTAATGTTTAATTAAGGATCAGTTAAGGATTGATTTAGGTTTAATGAGATTCAGACCTTTATTTTGATTTTTGAATTATTGTAAGTTTGTTTTATGATTGATTAGAGTTGATTGAGATTGATTTAGATTTTTAGGAGTTTTATTTGATTTATTTAGATTTGTTAAAACAAAATAAAAGATCCTTAATCTACTAGTTGTTATAGGATTGATTAATGTCAAATCAAGGTGTATTAAATCATTGGGTACATGACACTAGTTTTCTAAGTTCATGTTTCATCCCAAAAGAGATATATGTAGTTCTTCCTAGATTGCTCTAAGTTGACTAAGACACAAATCCTTAATTATTGTCCTGAATGTCACTAGGTTATAGGCTAGCAAATCAATGTTCTTCTAACCCTTAGACACTAATTACAATCACATGAAAGCAATCACAAGCAATAAAGAATAATGTGACCCTAATGTTCTATGGAATGATTTTACAATGAATTATTTTAATCATAGGTTATATGATAACCTATGAGTTTAAACAATTAATTGTAAAGGAATAGATATATGAAATTGGATTAAGTTTATTAGAGATACATGTAAATATATTCTAATCAAAGTTAATCCAATTCCATAGCATGATCATATATGGTTTGTTAGTTTTTTAAACTAGATTGCCATGCCTTTGGAAGTAAATCTTATTGAGCTATATATGATCATGGATCTAAACTTAATTTCAGTGAAAGGATGACCTTACACTGTCTCCATAAAACTCTAACATGCTTGGAATGGATTTTGAATTGAGTATATTATGAATTTCCAAAAATCAAGATCAAATCATGATCAAGATTTTGTAAATTCATAATTCAATTTATATTGCATCAAAATGGCTTAAGAAAATCATGGAGTCTCCACCTTAGACCCTAAAACATCTCTGCCAAAATTTAGCTTGAGATAACATATATATTTTTATTTAAAAATAAAATAAATATTTAAGTATTATTGAAATTATTAAGAAAAGATTGCTCAAAATAAATAATATAGCACTTAAAAATATGAACAAAACGAGCCCAATAACTCCAAAAATGGATAACAATTGAAATTCTTATGAATTTTTGAAGTTCTGGCATTTTCGGAATTTATTTTGGATGTTTTAAATACCCAGTCAAACGGCAGCGCTGACCTGGACACGCGGCGCGCGGGGGTTCCGCTGTGTGGATGATGGCGGTCAAGCGGGACCCGCCACTTAACCAGCTCAGCGGGACTTTGCGCCGTCAGATCTACCACAGCGTGGATCGGACGGCTGAGATTGAGTCCGCGGGATCAAGTTCGATCCAGGATGATCGAACGACGGATCTAACTCCCCGGTTCGGATCAATGGCTCAGATCTGGCCTGACGGGATTCTTACCAACCACAGTTTCAAGGGATCGAAATGAGTTATAAAGCAGAGTTATTCGCGGCCGTTGATCTATAAAGAACAGATCCAACGGCTACGAACTCATCTTCCTCCTCCAGCCATTCGAACACCCTAAAGCCATTTTTATGTTTTGCTTTCTCAAAATACTAAATGAAATAGTTTCAAATTTGAGACAGAGATATTATTAGATCTAGGAAAGAATGGGTGATTGTTTTTAAGCCATTTGATGCAATATATCATGAGTTATTTAGGAACCTAAGTAAACGCCTAGGGATTAGGATTTACCGAGCTAGGATTGATGGATTTGCTTGTTTTAAACACGGTTGAACTTGTAGACTGTCCACGTGTTGATCTCCTTCAGACTTCGAGCCTGGAGGATCACTGGAAATGGAGTTGAGAGAGTGGACGGAAGTGGCTCTCGGATCACCGTCGATCTTGTCTCCGGCGAGCTCCAGACACCAAGGAACGGTGGGGAAATGAAAGTAGAACTCAGGGATTTCGAAACGAAACACTAGAGAGCTCTGGGAATCTCTGGAATGCAAGATAGCTTAGAATGAGTGAATCCCGTCGTTTTGCCCTACTCATCTGCTTGGAGCCAAAAGGAGCGGCCAGGATCACTCAGGGGCGTGCTTTGGATGCTGGACACCTGTCCCTGGCCGTTAGAGGAGCAGGGGGAATGGCTGGCCAGGTGAAAACGACTCCAAGTCGTTCTCAAGTGGGGGGGACCACGGGCTGTTAGGGCTGAGCTGGAGGCATGCCAAGCACTGGGCTGAGTTGGGTTAGCCTCCTGGAAGCTTATGGAGTCGAGTTCAGGGATTGGAAAGGTTCGGTCTAGGCTGGAGAGAGCTTGGTTGGTCGGGTTGACCGGGTTGACTACTGGAGCTCGTTTAAGTTCTTGGACAAGCTAGGGAGCATGCCAAGGCTCGGGCTGGGTTGGGCTAGCTCCAGAGAAGTTTCTGGAATCGAATTGAGGGGCTGGACGGGCCTGGGCTAGAGTGGATAAGGTCATTCGGTCGGGTTGACCGAATGAGTCCAATTGACCTCTTGGACGGGCTATGGAGCAAGCCGAAACCTGGTTTGGGTTGGGTTGAATTCCGAGAAGCTTCAGGAATGCAATCCAAGTAATGGGAAGGGCTCGATTTAGTCTAGGGGGTTGAGTTTGATCGGCTTGACAACTAGAGCTCAATTGAGCTCTAGTTGACTGTTTGACCAGTCAAAGATGGTCAAAGGGCTGAGGTGGAGCCTAAACTATACCTAGGGTAGGTCTAGAGGTAGAATGTGATTTGAGAGAGTAAGCTAGATGGAGAGGTTTGACCATCTAAATGGTCTTTAAGCATTGAGTTGACTGGTTTGACCAGTCAATTCAGTCAATGATTGATAAGATGGATTATGAGGAGTTTATGGTATGTTGATTGAGTGAATTGCAAGGGGTTTAGATGATTATATGCTTTGTATTAGTAAGATAACTTTTATATGGTGAAGTTTGACCATGTTTAAAAGGGTTGACTTAGTCAACTCTAAACAAAGTTGATAGGATAGAGTATAGGTGAGGTTTAGGTGTAGATTTGATATAGTATGAGGGGTTTGGAAAGTTGGATGGGTTGATCTTCCAAGAATCATTGGTTTAATTCAAATTAATTAATCTTGATTGGAGTTGGGTATAATTGATTGAGTCAACTGTTGATTAGATTGGGGTGATTAATCAAATCAAAATCATTAAGGCTATGTTCAAAGGAATTTTAAAGGAGTTTGATTGTATTTAGAATTTGATTGATTGAGTGTTGATTGATTGGTTGGAAATTGATGTATGCATATTGGTTGGAGGTTGATTTAATGCAGGCTATGAGTTTGAGTGGAATTTGAAGGATTGAGGCTTGATTTATATTTGATTGAAGGTGTATGATTGATTGAGCACTAGATGGTTGATAATTGGGTAATTATCAGCCATCAGATGTTTTGATCAGGAGTAGTGATAGGTTCTGATGACCTCATATAAAAATGAGGTCAACAACCTTAATGAGAGAAGTTATGTTAAGATGAATATGTAATAATATTTAGTCGCATTGTTTGTAGGATTTCAAAGCGGGAGAGGAAAAGCATTTTTAAGAGAACGGTAAATTACACACATCTGATCAGTAAGTACAGTTAATTCTTCCAAGTTTAATGTTTCTTTGTTCTCTAATGTGTTAAATATTAGTTCTTTACTGAATGTTGATTGATGCTTATGCTCTTGTAGAATTAAATGTTACATGTTGGCTTTATATTGTTATGTATGCTGGCATTATTGAGAATACTCAGAAAAGTTTTACAATTCACATTATATAAACCTTCATGTAACCATGCCTAAACTTTTAATAAAGTATTATGAATTATGTGTATGTTGAATGTGCATGTTGAAGGCGGAGTATCAAATATGGTGCCTTGGCACAATACGGCTCTTAGGAGCAATATGATTCTTCTGGGCAAAAGAGGAAATAAAGATGATATGGTTAAAAATATGTTTGTGTACTTGATCAGTACACTTCTGATACTTTGGTATGTTTGTATATGTTAAAGAATAAGAAAACATATCAGTATATTTTATGATATAAATGATATGAAATAGTTGAAATGATCTCAAGGATATGCATATGAATTGTAACATGTGACATTTTGATGCAATCAAAAATTTGAGAGAGGGACCCAAATTTTTGATCACAAAAAGAGATTACCTTTCTAAGAACAAAATAAAGACATAAAAGTACTCAAAAGACACTTTTTATATCATATAAAGAAAAGACTTACAAACTTGACTTTCAACATAAGATGACATTACAACCCTTGACTCTTACAAACAACTCAAACAAAATGACGACAAAAAAAAGACACCCTAAACTTGCTGACTTTGAGAAGAAGGATACAATGGAATGATTACTATGGAGAGAAGAAAGAGATTAGGAGACGAGACGAAGATTGGAAAGAGCCCGCAGGATTTCCGAAGGAGGTGGAAGAGGGAATGGACAAAGCTCGCAAGCTTTTCCAAACAACAAACCCGCAGGTTTTATCTCCAAAAATCACTTACATAAACTTTTACTATTTTTAACTTCATATAACATCTACTATATATAGGCATAAGAGAGGGATGCCAAGAGCCACATGTCTTTAATTTCCATTAGAACCAAAGCATAAAAGGCATAGAAAACTTCCCCCAAAGTTCACGGATAAACACTTAAACCAGGAACCAAAGAGGCAGCTAGCAGACCGAGTATTTCAAAGCAACAAAGCCACAGATTTCGGAAAAACAGCCAGCTCCTCACGGAACCAAGGAGCCAGCACCTCAGGCCGTGAGTTCAAAGCATCACAGCAACGGGAAAAGCTTCCCATTTCGGAAATCAGCCCCATTTAAAATCAGAACAGGAATCAAAGGGCTAATTCATGGAACCAAGGAGTCCATGTCTCGGTAAGCAAGCATCCCATCAAAGCTTTTTATTCACTGGAGCCAAAAGTTCATGGAAAAAAGGCCCAGGCATGGAAATATCAGCCGGCTAGAATGTATAGCACTAAAAACAGTAACTTTCCATTTAATATTTTGCATTGAAATTAGCCATAAATAAAGAGCAGGTCACGGATTTCCAAGAGACAAGAAGAAAAGAGGAAGGGGAAGGGACAAGGAAATGAGAAGAAAAAAAGGGAAAGAAGAAAAATCATTTAAAGAAATAATGAGCTAATTTTTAGTTCAATAAATGAACTAAAAATCAGCTCATAATGAGCTAATTTTTTTACTAGACATTAATGAGCTAGGGAAGTCAAAAATCAAATATTAGGATTTGATTTGACCCTCCCTTGCCTACATCACATTTAGATCTGCATATGAACTGTAACATGTGACACTTATATCTGCATATGAATTGTAGCATGTGACACTTAAAAAAAATCATGATATTTAGTAATCATATAGTCGAGTTAAATTACATCAAGCATACATGTCGAATTCCTCTCATGGTGTATGAATTTATTAGAGTTAGTTGTTACTTGCTGAGCTTAGCTCATTCCCTTGTTTTGAGACATGTTCCAGGAGAACCTGCTGCTAGGAATGACTGATCGACGTTAGTTCACATATAGTCGTAGAGGATCGGATGACAGGTTCCTATTGTAATTTTTTTTTGTAGTTATGATTTATTTTTGGCTGGATGTTGTTATGAAAGAAATATTTTACCCGGCTTTATACATATGTGACTTTATATGAAATGATATGAAATGTTTAGTTCAAATTGGAAGTTGTTTAGAGACACTTATTTTTATCTCTTGAAGTGTTTTAGATTCCCATTATGTCATGTTTTAATGCTATTGAAATATTCTGTTCTATCATTTATGTCAGACATCCGTTCCCGCCTCGTCTATACGAGTTCACCGGGCCGGGTCGTGATATACCTTAACAACACTCTCCCATTTGCGTCCCAATTATGTCCTATTTTCTTAATTATTTTTCTCCCAAATCAACCCAAATTTACCCTCTTCAATTATGAAATATTTCATAATTAATATCCTCTAAATTAGCTCCTAAATCAGCCCTCAAATCTACCGTCTTTAATTAAGAATGATTTTTTAATTAACCCCTTGAAAAAAAAAAAATCTTCCCCCAAATCAGCCCTCTTCAATCAGGAAATATTTCATAATTAATCCCCTCCAAATCAGCCCCATTTCCTTAAATAATTTCCTCTCATTTTTGAACTCAAATTAGATCCTTTGCCCTAAATACTTCTCTCACAATTATAATTAAATTTTTTTTTAAATAATTACCCTTTGATTAAGAACATTCCTAAACAACTCCTTATTGATTATGAAACTTCCTAATTCCCTCCCAATCAAATCGATCGGTCCATCAATACTCCCCTCCCAAAGTGCTACATTATCATGAAGGCGGAACGAAGGAAACAACTGCTGAAGCACTCCACTAATAGCAGTGGACAGAAAAATGAACTGATACTTGGTTGAATGATCCCTGCCTCCAGCATATCCCTGATCAGTCTTTTGATCTCATTCTTATGGATTTTGGGATAACGATATAGACAAACACTGATAGGTGAGACTACTTCCTTCAAGTGCCTTGGTGTATACCTCTCACATCTGAAAACACAGCCCCTTTGCTCTCTTCTTTTGTAGCTCCATTTCTGTGAGTTTCTTGAAGTTTTTCCCAGTCTTCCTCCTACAATTTTCTCCTTTCGAAGTCTCCCTAAGAGTTCCTGGTGTCGGCTCCATGGATGCCAAAAAGGTTTTGGTCATCATGTACGAACATCCTGAGCTGCTACCTCTAGCCCCTCTCTAGGTGCCTCTGATCCTTTCACTAATTGGGATACCTCCATAGCCTATCCCAAATTATGAGGTCTCATCACTTTAAATGTGGCTCGAATATCTATTTTGATACCTTTCATAAAGTTTATCTCCAGTACAGTCTTCGGAAGCCGGTCCTGTCGGTTGGCCAGGTGCTCAAACTGCTCTCGGTACTACACTATCCCCTCTTGCGTTAGAGCAAAGAATTGCTCATAGAAAACCCTTTTCTACTAGTTCGAAAATATTCCAACAAGCAGTCCTTAAACTCTCTCCAGGTCCGTATGGGTCGCCTCGTATCCCTCCGTTGGTACTATGCCAAAGCTTTCCCCTCCAAGCACATCCCAAACCTCGTTAGTCTCACCTCCTCCATCTATCTATTGAGAATAAAGTACCTTTTCCACCCTGTATATCCACCCATGTGCATTATCGCCCTAAAAAATAGACATCTTCAACGTCCTCACCCTCGGATCTCCTCTGTTCCTCCTATTTCTTTCATAATTCCCCTTTCCCCAAGTGGTTCTCCTAGGTGTCCCAATCATCCATTCTACGCTTGTACCCAAACCTTTCGTCAAATTCCCACATTCTCATTTCAAATTCAACACCCTTTGGATCATAATCAGCCCCTCCTTTCAAATTCAGTGCCCCTTCGATCATAATCAACCTCTCCCCTTTCAAATTCAGCACCCCTTTAATCATATTTAGTCCCTCCACTTTCAAATTCCACCCCTCTTCTCAAATTTAGCTCCCCTTCTTTCATGCCCGACTCCTCATGCTTCTCCCTATACTCTCTACTCAGATCCTCCCTAATAGGGGTGTAAGAGAGCCGATTCGGCTTGATGAGGCTCAAACTTGACTCGTTAACGAGTTCGCAAACCGAGTATGTTGGTCTGAGGCCCCCAGCTCTATTGTCATCCACAAGCCGTATGGATTAGCTCGCCTACCTAGGCATGTTGAGATATGCTCTCTTTATGCTCCGTATCCTTTGGTTCAGACAATTGTTCTCAGGGATGTTCATCTCCTTCAACAAAGTAATAACTGTGCGATTGCTGCAGTAGGAAGTTCAATTTATGGTCTCTTGCCTGTTCCTGTTGGTGCCCAGATTGTACAGTTGACAGCATCTGGGAATTTCGTGGGGGCATTAGCTTTGTGTAAGCTACTCCCACCAGAGGATTCTAGCCTTCGAGCAGCAAAAGAAGCCTCTATACATATAAGGTATGGGCATTATCTGTTTGATAATGGGAGCTATGAGGAGTCCATGGATCAGTTCTTGGCTTCCCAAGTGGATATAACCTATGTATTATCTTTATATCCTTCAATAACTCTACCAAAGGATCTAACTATTGTTGAACCTGAGAAGTTTCAAGAACAGACTGATGCTTTTTACCTATCAAGGTTTTCTTCTGATGTGTCAGATGACATGGAATCATCATTGCCATCTCAATTCTATGAATCTGATGATAAATCAGCAGTTGAGGATAAGAAAACGAGTTACAACGCTATCATGGCACTAGCAAAGTACCTGCAGAGGAAAAGATTTAGTGTAATTGAAAGGGCAACTGCAGAGGTAACAGAGGAAGTTGTCTCTGATGCTGTGCAAGGCAGCATAACGACTTCTGAGCCATATGGATCTATGAGTTCCAGCAAGGTGAAAAAAAATCCGATTCTTTAAGCACTGCACCTACAAAAGCTTCTAACACTTCTATCTTCTGTGAATATAGTACATCTTGGATACATACTTCAGTTTCCCTTGTGTTACCTCTACAACTTCTTGTTCTTTTGTATTTTGCCACAGGTTGTATGACTTGTTCTAGATATCAGCTGCCAGGCTTGTGATAGAAAGTCTTGCAGAAATTTAGGAAAAGTTTTGGCTGAAATCTGATTTCAACAATTTTAGAAAACCAACAATAAAAAAATCTGAATAGAACACACAAGAATATTTTTTTTATTGAAGTTCTATGAAAGAAAGACAGGATACAAGTGGATCTTCAATTGGAGAGCTCCCAAATCCCTAGCCGTCAGCTAGTCCCCAAAATAACCTAAGAATAAACTAAATTCAGCAAACAAGGTATATCCATAACCCTAGGAAAATCACCAACTTAAAGCAAACAATAATCAACAAATACCCTGTAAAATCTGAAAATGTTGATCGTATGCGTCGCATGCATTTTGATGCGTCGTGATGAAATTCGGTGAAATTTCAAAGTTGTCAGAGTGCAATGAAATAAATTTTATAAAATTATACGCGAAATTTCGATCGAAACGGTATAAAGAATATATACCTAATTTCGCGTGATTTGAAAACTAAAAATCGTAGAAGTTCGTTTAAGTAATTTTTTTAGTCACTTGTCCAAATTACCCCTCATGAGCTCTTAGGGAAGTATTTGGAAGAGGGGCCCATGCGTCTTTTAGTAGCCCTCTCCCTCATTTAGCCAAAGCACCTCCAATATTTCGGTCCCTTTTTGTGGTTGTTCGGCCGCACGTGTGAAGAGAGGGAGAGAACGTCGGGTGGCTTGCAAAAGCCGGCGGCCGGAGAGTTTCCGGCAAGGGTTTTTGACGAAAAATGTGGGGAAATGCATTAGGAAGATAGAGGTAAGCTTCTAATGCAATAAATGTTTCTTTTCTTTTAGATTTCTTTGAGAGAAATTTTTAGGGTTTGCTCAAAACTCAAAAGATTAGAAGAAAAGTTATAGGGAAGAATTAGGAAATGCTTTTCACCATGAAAAAATAGAATTTTCTTAAAGGATTTTCAAATATCTGAAATTATGGTTTCTCTCATTTTAATTTTTTTTTTAAAAGAATGTTAGAAGAACCTTGGGGAAGAAATTTTATCCATGAAAATGCAAATTTTTTTTTTCAAAAAATTTTAGGTTTAAAAAATTAGAGTTTTTCGTATATTGAAAAATTTTGAAGAATGCTTAACAAAAGTTATTCCAAATAACCTTAGGAGGGTTCTAATGGTGAAAATGGGGAATTTTTTCACAAAATATTATTTTCCCTAATTATTAAATTGAATAATCCAAAAATTTAATAACATAAATTTATAATTAGATAAGAGGGATGTTTTAACATGATATCTTATTGAAATTAGTGAAGAATTATGTTTTCAAAATTTGGAATTTAGGTAAATCCAAAAATTACATTTAAATTACATTTAATTAAGGAAAGCATATGATAAAAATGCATTAGATTGTGGGTATGTTAATGAACATTAATGAATATATGATAAAAATGCATTAGGTTGTGGGTTTGTTAATGAACATTAATGATCTTAATGAGAGAAGTTATGTTAAGATGAATATGTAATAATATTTAGTCACATTGTTTGTAGGATTTCAAAGCAGGAGATGAAAAACATTTTTTAGGAGAACGGTAAATTACACACATCTGATCAGTAAGTACAATTAATTCTTCCAAGTTCAATGTTTCTTTGTTCTCTAATGTGTTAAATATTAGTTCTTTACTGAATGTTGATTGATGCTTATGCTCTTTTAGAATTAAATGTTACATGTTGGCTTTATATTGTTATGTATGCTGGCATTATTGAGAATACTCAGAAAAGTTTTACAATTTACTTTATATAAACCTTCATGTAACCATGCCTAAACTTTTAATAAAGTATTATGAATTATGTGTATGTTGAATGTGCATGTTGAAGGCGGATTACCAAATATGGTGCCTTGGCACAATACGGCTCTTAGGAGCAATATGGCTCTTCGGGGCAAAAGAGGAAAGAAAGATGATATGGTCAAAAATATGTTTGTGTACCTGATCAGTACACTTCTGATACTCCGGTATGGTTGTATATATTAAAGAATAAGAAAGCATATTAGTATATTTTATGATAAAAATGACATGAAATAGTTGAAATGACCTCAAGGATATGCATATGAACTGTAAAATGTGACATTCAAATATGCATATGAACTGTAACATGTAACACTTAGATCTGCATATGAATTGTAACATGTGACACTTAAAAAAAATCATGATATTTAGTAATCATATAGACGATTTAAATTACATCAAGCATATATGTCGAATTCCTCTCATGGTGTATGAATTATTTAGAGTTAGTTGTTACTTGCTGAGCTTTAACTCATTCCCTCATTTTGGGACATGTTTCAGGAGAACCTGCTACTAGGAATGACTGGTCGACGTTGGTTCACATATAGTCGTAGATGATGGGATGACAAGTTCCTGTTGTAGTTTTTTTTTTGGTAGTTGTGATTTATTTTTGGCTGGATGTTGTTATGAAAGAAATATTTTAGCTGGCTTTGTACATATGTGACTTTATATGAAATGATATAAAATGTTTAGTTCAAATTGGAAGTTGTTTAGAGACGCTTATTTTTATCTCTTGAAGTGTTTTAGATTCCAATTATGTCATGTTTTAATGCTATTGAAATATTCCGTTCTATCATTTATATCCGACATCTGTTCTTGTCTCGTTTATACGAGCTCACCGGGCCGTGTCGTGACATACCTTAACAACACTCTCCCAATTCCTTCCCAATTATTTCCTATTTCCTTAATTATTTTTCTCCCAAATCAACCCCCAAATTTGCCCTATTCAATTATGAAACATTTCATAGTTAATATCCTCTAAATTAGCTCCTAAATCGGCCCTCAAATCTATCCTCTTCAGTTAAGAATGATTTTTTAATTAACCCCCCCTCCCCCCGAAAAAAAAATATGCCCCCAAATCTACCCTCTTCAATCAGGAAACATTTCATAATTAATCCCCTCCAAATTAGCACCCTTTCCTTAAATAATTTTCTCTCATATTAGAACTTAAATTAGATCTCTTGCCCTAAATACTTCTCTCCCAATTATAATTAAACTTTTTTTAAATAATTACCCTTTGATTAAGAATATTCCTAAACAACTCCCTATTGATTATGAAACTTCCTAATTCTCTCCCAATCAAATCGATCGGTCCATCAATACCCCTCCCAAAGTGCCACATTGTCATGAAGGCGGAACGAAGGAAACGACTGCTGAAGCACTTGACTAGTAGCTATGGACAGAAAAATGGATTGACACTTGGTTGAATGATCCCCTCCTCCAGCATATCCCTGATCAGTCTTTTGATCTCATTCTTATGGATTTTGGGATAACGACACGGACTGTACACATTTCAAAAAAAAATCTTAAATAACTATTACTTTTTTTTCCCAATAACAATTGTTAAAGCATTAACAATTATTAAAGACCAAATGTACACAGTAGCAGTTGCACCCAATAATAGTTGTACACAATAACTACTATTAAAGCATGTCTCTTTTCAAGACCAAGTCCGTATTTCGCAAAAAAAAAAAAAAAAAAAACCTATTTACCAAAAAAAAAAAAAAAAAAAAAAAAAGAAGACCAGTGGTCCGTAGATTCCGCACTGTCCTTCTTCCACGTTTTTTTAGCTTTCTTATACGGCGATGACGAACAACTCTTTCGATTTTCCTTCTCCACAGTCAGCGCTACCCGACAAAGAGAAGGAAAAAGCTTCAACCTAGATTCCATCTTGAGTCGAGCACTCGAACCGAGCTCTCGAACCTGAGAGAAAATAGACAAGTCAAGCTCGAGCCCGTTCTTTGAGCTCGACATGAGCTCGAGCCCTAGTTTTAATTTCTCTTTTGAGAGACGTGTCGAGCTCGAGTTTGCTACTACTCGAGCTCAACTCGACTCGACTTGTTTACACCCCTACTCCCTATTAATTGGCTCTAGAGAAGACATTCTCTTTTCTTCCTCCAGAATCTTCATCTCCTGATTTTCCCTTCGCCATTTCGGATTAGCATTTTTCCCACTTTCTTGGTTGCCGGTGGCTTCCCTCTCCTCCGTCGAAACCATTTTAGGTTGGCCCTTGAGCAATTTCTTCAACATCTCCAAGATGGAAAGACTCCCATCAATCTTCTCATGGACGGCTGAACTTTGACTTTTAAAATCTGAAAGTTAGTTTGAATATTGAAAATTTCAGATTTCAATTGTCCGATCTCACATTCCAATACTTCTACATTTCTTCTTTCCATAGGTACCTGGATTTAGGCTCCACTAACAAAAAACAACAACTTTGGTGTGAATCTGACCTCCAAACAACAAAAAACAACAAGATTGGAGAGGAAACACAACTGAAATTAGCTAGAAAGACTACTTTTTCAGCCCATGAAATTGTTCTAATACCAATTCGATAGGAAGTGGTTGTTCTTTTCACTAAATCAGCGGACGAAACACAAAAAATTGGGAAGAAGAACGCTAACAAATAATTTGTATTTGAAGAACTATAAAGAGAAATGTAAGATATAATTAGATCCTCAATTGGAGAGGTAGATTCGGCTCTCCCAAATCCTTAGCTGCCTGCTAGAGCCCAAATAACCTAAAAATAAATTAAATTCAACAAACAAGACATACCACAAACTCTAGAAAAATTACCTACTTAAAGCAAACAATAAACAACAAATACCGAAACAACCCTCCCCCAACTCCCTCGCAAACTGTCCTATTTCCTTAATTATTTCTCTCCCAAATCGGCCATCAAATTAGCCCCTGAATCTACCCTCTTCAATTATGAAACATATTCTAATTAATCCCCTCAAAATCAACCCTTAAATCAGCTCTCAAATCTTCCCTCTTCAATTATGAAACATTTCCTAATTAATCTCCCCCAAATTAGCCTGATAGGAAACACTTGTAGATCTCAAGTATTTCCTATCGATCTTCGAAAAACAACGAGAGTTCTCCACAAAAATCCACACAAAACGACGAAAACAGTAGATACTTTGTATTATTTGATAAAAGGAAACGAAAAGTACCAAGATACAATTGATCCTCTATTCAAGAGGAGGATCTATCTCTCCCAAATCTCTAGACGCCGCTAGAGCCCAAAAAAAATCTTAGAGATCTCAAATTTCGGCCAAATTCAAGATGCCCTAACCCTAGGAAAACAAACTTTTCAATGCATACAATTCAAAAGGATATCTCTAAATAGTCCCTACATTCAAATTTCCCTAAAAAATCTTTCCTAAATCTCTCCGTCTAGGCGTTCGGTTCGCACGACCTCCGCAGGAGGCGGAGATCCCGCCTCTGTTTTGCAAGCCTGTCCCGTATGGACCGGCTGGACTGGTCTAACACAACCCCCAAATATGCCCTCTTCAATTAGGAAATATTTTGTAATTAATCCCCTCCAAATCATCCCCCTTTCCCTAAATAATTTCGTCTCATATTTGAATTTTAATTAGATCTCTTGCCCTAAATACTTCTCTTCCAATTATAATTAAAACTTTCATAAATAATTCCTCTTTTATTAAGAACATTCCTGAACATCTCCCTATTAATTAGGAAACTTCATAATTCTCTCCCAATCAAATCGACTGGTCCATCAACTTGGGACTGATAATGGTGTCTTTCATTTTGGTTTTAGATGGGTTCTTCTAATATGAATTTTCCAGTGTTGGCAGCCTTTACTAAGACTTGCCCACCATCTTTGAGATGTTTACACGATGCATGTCAAGTTACCATGAATGTCATATGCACTTCCGTTTGATTTTATTGCCTAAAAATGAAATGTTTGATGATAAGCAGGTCATATTGTTAGAAAAACATTTTAGAAGGTGACTGCAGATTGTCCGTATGTGGGTTTAGACAAGTATTTCAAACATTCTACTTAGCTTGTTGATCATGCAACTTCTGCTCTTGAAGTTGTCGGGCTTGATGATGGGCTTAGGGAGATCTGCTCTCAACCCCAGAATTTTCTGTCACATGCACCTGGATTCTTAACTATTTCGTGTATTTGGCCAAATATGGCAGTTTCAATTTTGATAGGCTAGTTCAGCTCATTAGTTTACTATACCTCAGGCATCTAACCATGGTCTTTCCTTCAACAGAAAAGAGGTCACCCTCATATCAGTTCAGTTGGAAGGGAGTTGGCAACTATACTGGACACTGCACTTATTCAGGCTCTGCTTCTTACTGGGCAATTTTTGGTAGCAGTAGACTTGGTGAAAGGTCCTAACTACTGTGATTTAAAGATTTGTGAAGAAATTTTGAAAGGTAGGAATGATTATGAAGTCTTGTTAGAGCTGTATAAGTACAATGGAATGCATCATGAAGCACTGAAACTCCTCCATCAGCTTATTGAGGAATCAAATTCAAGCATTACGAGTTCTGAATCTCAGAATTTCAAACCATCCATGATTATTAATTATCTCAAGGTACATTTCCCTTTTTTCTAAAGCTTACATCATATTTCGCAATTATGCTTGGCTTGACACTACATTTCTTGTAATGCCCATAACTTTTAAGCGTCCTACATATTACCTATTTCATGCGGTCTCTATGGTTATAACTTGAAACGTGTTCTGAAATGATGTTAAACATATTGGAAAACTTTTGCATTTTTGAACATTAGGATTCTTGTAGTTGACCTTGACTGAACCTAACCATGTTATGACAGTTGCTTAAGCTTGTTTTGACATCATATTAAATATTATCTGCATGATTTTATCTTGTTTATATATCGTTATTTACCTTTGACATTTAAACCATCTAATTGACTTTAAAAAGTTTTTAATTTACAGTAGTCAACGCCAAGTATCATCACCACATATAAACAACTAAAATATTTTTTAATATGCCATATGAATTAATCTTCCTTGAGAAACCATGCCAATAACAGGCGCTACAATGATACAGTTAATGCGTCTCCTCGCATTTGGTGCTTATGACAACTATTGCATGTTCTTTTTTTGTGAATTGCCAAGGTCTGTTGTCTTAGTCTTTGGCTTGGATTAACTTGATTGACTTAACCAATTTTGTTCCATAATGTCTTTAGCTTGGTCAAATCATCTTTTAAAGTTGGTGGATTTTTATTGGTATACCCAGATTGAAATCTTTGATTTTCAATTATACCCAACTGCGGGAATATTATTGGTATATACAAACCAAAATCTTCTTCTTACCACACTATCACCTGAAACCTCATTTTACTCACGTTGGGCCAATTAAACCAAAGACTTGTGGCATTTGTCTATCCATCTTAAAAAATATCCTTCATGCTGTTGCTGTCATGGCCACCTATAATTGATTGCCAATTACTGTTTTCTGTCTCATAGGTTGGGAGGACAGAGCATGGAGAGCTGAGAGTTAAAGTTAATGGAGTAATCCGAAAAAATTTAATTTGTGGTGATCATAGGTAGTTGGGTTAGTCCCCTAATAGTTGTGCTTGCGATAATCTTGACGATGAATAGTAATTGTGTTTGTATTGATGGTTAAAATTATTGACATTGCATTTGATATGTCATAAAAAAATTATTTTGATCGGGCACGAATCTTGATGCAAATATGAATCGGAACTTTCAAAATTAAATTCGTGACCATTCGAACTCCGATTTCAACAAACTTATAGTCAAACTGAACATCTCGAAGAGATGATCCCAACATCACTGAAATTTAGTCTTCATTCTTGCAATGACTCTTAGGCATACAAATGCTGAAACAAAAAAAGTTTAACACCCTTGATCCATTCAAGAAGAAAAAAAAGAGGGTTGAAAGCATCACGTTCTATTAATCTTTGATTCGATTAGGAAAAAAAGAGAGATTTGAAGGTCCCTCATTCCATTAAACTCTTATCTAGCTAAAAGTATGCCATTCTTTGCATTACATTGCATTTTGATCCGACTAAAGTTATGCCTCCCTCTATTGATCTTTGATCTGAGTCCAATGGGATGAATGCTTACCATCGACAACTATACTTGACAAAAACAAACAGGTGACTTCATTGTTGTCAAACAACAGCATGTATGGTCGTTGCATAGCTTCATCATTATCAATGTACCCAATACCTCTAATTAGAGGCAGTTGGGGTCAGCGGTATTTAAATCGCCAACGAGAAAGGAAAATAATTGGGTAGTTGCATTTGCTGCTAAAAACCACCTAATGCTAATTCACCACAGCAGGAGTAAGGAACGCCTCAATGCTCACATGCTCACATGTCTGGTAGTTTGCTCATAACAAACCCAGCTAATTTAGGCCACACCTGTACAGCTCAAGCACCCATAAATATACATAAGATACTTCAGTAAACGATGTACAGTGATATTACATAGAAATGACAATTCGTCTCTTTTCTCTCTGAGACACTTCTACTGTATTTCTATTACTGCATTGTTCTTCTTTCATGGTATCAAAGCCATCTTCGGCTCACAGCCCGTGAATCCCCATATGGCAGCCTCTTTCTCCTCCCACACCGAAGATGAGTCTACGGAATCCTCCCAAAACGACATCACCCCCTCAAGTTCCTTATCTCTAACAGCAAAACAACTGTTCTCATCCAGCTGCCTAATGAAAACTATTCCACTTGGAGATCTCAAATACTTAAACTATTCCGAGCTAACAACTATGCAGGTTTTCTCGACAGATCCTGCGCTGCCCCTCCTCGCCTGCATCTTAACCCTACCGGCACCTTTCAACCCAATGTTGCTTTCAACCAGTGTGACTGGAAGAAAAAGGTGGATGAATACTAAATGATCGAGTCCAACTTAAACTGTAACTCATATTTTCTTCTTTTTAATAAAATCATTTAAAATCCAAAAAAGAAAAAGAAAAAAAGAATTGATAATAATATGATTTTTTTTGTTGTGAACATGAATGACTTAATTGCTCTTTAATTTATTAAACTTATTCAAATTAAATATATAAGGAGGTAAACAACCTTATAGCTTAATTTTTTTCTGGTTAGTTAGACAAAACTAATTCTCATTTTGATATCTGGTGTGCTACTTAGTCAACTTCTTCGATGCTTATTAGGTTTAATTAATCCAAATTGTATGGTAAATGCTCGTTAACTTCTTGGGCTCCACATCATTCTAGGTCTGGTCCTAGGCCTTTCATTGGAGTCTTCAACTTGCTTCCTCAACCTCATACTAAGATAATCACAATTCTATCTTGTCAATAATTTAGCAATGAAAACACAATTAGAATAAAACCAAAGTATTGTATATTTGTAGATATTTATGTTTTGATCTATGATGCATAGACACGAATATGACGACACGGATACGGCAAGACATGGACACGGGACACGTCAATTATTAAAAATATAGGACATAGACATGGGTTGGACACGGTATTTATAGTTTTTATTTTTTTAAAAATAGTGTATAAAATTTGAATAAGTATAATTTTAAAAGTAATTTAGAAATAATAAGTCATTTAACTAGAATTTGTGCTTAAAATTATTAATATTAGGATGTCGAGAGTTGGGCGTCGATGCCATTTATCATTCATTGAGAGAGGAGATGACAATGCTTTTGAGAATCAGGCATTGATGTTATGCAGTAAATATTGGACGTTCATGTTAAGGAACTTTTATTCGGTCCAGTGAACGTACGCTCCTTTACGTTCGGCCACCAATGTTTAACGCCACATAGCATGAAGAAAAGACGCCGACCCGACCCGTTGTTTTTTGGGTTCTCGCACGTGCATTTTTTTAAATCCTTGACGAGCCGAACAACATCCCATCACCTTTTGGATATATTTCAAATACCTAGCAATACCGAGCAAATACCGAGTTGTACCTAATTTTTTCTAGCAATACCGAGCAAATACCTAGCAATACCGAGCAAATCCCTAGCAATACCGAGCAAATCCTGAGCAAATACTGAGTTGTACCGAGTTGTACCGAGTTTTTTCTAGCAATACCGAGCAAATACCTAGCAATACCGAGCAAATCTCTAGCAATACCGAGCAAATCCTGAGCAAATACCAAGTTGTACCGAGTTGTATCGAGTTGTACTGAGTTGTAGAAAAACTCGGTACAACTCGGTATTTGCATTGTATTGGTCTTCACATAGCTGCATTTCTCATTTTTGCAAAGCAATACCTAGCAAATACCGAGCAAATACCGAGCAATACCAAGAAAATCGCGAACATAGCATTCCCGGGTTCTGCT